TTCACCTTTCCAGTTGTCTGCCTCTGGTATGTATGTACTGTCCTTGGCATGCAGAGCCTATTCTTAAGTTCCTGGAATTTGAAGAAGAACACTGTCACTTAAAATATCCAAAATGGCCACACCACTTGTAACCATTCAGAATAGCTGTGGCCCCTGGACAGGCGAAAGTCCATAGCTCCATTTGTCTCCTTCTTTGTTTTTTCCCTTTTTAATCATCAGCCACCAGTGCAGTCATCCGTGCACCTCTTAGTGAGAAGGGGCAATTTTTTGGTTAATTCTCAGGTCCTGACACCAGTGGGAAATTCACATTGTTTGTGCTGTTGGGATTGCTGATAATCCACAGCCCCATCTTCCTCCTTATTCACGGTTTTCATGCAGATTCTTCTACTAGTTTGTGTTTAATCCATTTCTGTATTCTTCCTTTCAAAGCTCAGGGCTCCAGGATTATCTTCTGTATATGTATCAGTTGGTTTCACTTTTCTTTATTGGGGAGGGTCTATGTAGCTTGTCTGCCTATTCTGCCATTTTATCAGCAGTCCAGAAAAAGAATATTTTAAAAACAAAAAAATCAAATCTGCAGGTGGTGATGGGGTAGGGCACCCAGACTCTGTCAGTGCACACATACTGGGATGGAATTCCTGCCCATCTGGAAGGTGCATGGTGGTCAGGGATGGCCACGATTCCTTTCACCAAGAAGGTGTGGAGTGTGAGTAACAATGAGAACATTGCACCTTTCTTGTTTTCACCCTCAGTTTTGTCCATTTTTTCCTAAATTTTGTCGGTGTTTTCCATGATTTGTCTCTCAATCTGTTGAAGGTACCATGCTGTTCTCAGCAAAGAGAGCCTGTTCTTAGGTCACTGTTATTAGAACACCACTTGCAAGTATGTAAAATGGCCACACAGCTTGCAAATATTCAAAATGGCTTCATCCTTAGGATAGCTTAAAGTCCACAGCTCAGTTTGTCTCTTTACTTTCTGTTTTCCTTTCTAGTTGTCACACACCAGTGCAGTTGTCCATATCCATGTCCTTTATGAGCAGGGCCGATTCTTACATTTTTGCCCAGATCCTAATGCTATTTGTAAATACTCAAACTGGCTGTGCCATCAGGATAGCCAACAGTACACAGCCCTATTTGTCTCCATATTCACTGTTTTCATTTGTGTTCTACTACTGGGTGTTTAATCCACTTTTTTTTATCCTTTCTTCCAAAACTCAGGGCTTCAGGATTATCTTTTATATCTGTTTCAATTGGTTCCTCATTTATTTATTAAAGAGGATTTGTGTAGTTTGTCTGCCTATTCTGCCATCTTGCCAGAAGTCTTTCTTTTAATATCGTATTTGCTGATTCCATGAGTTTTGATTCAAGTAAAATGGCTGGATCCAAGTAAAATGAAATCCTACCTTACATATTTTCTCCATTTATCATCATGTTGCTATTGGTCTACTTGTGGGGTTTTTGTTTTCTTTATGTTAAGATGTAATTCATACTGAAGGCTATCTTTGCTCTTCATCATTTAGTGCTTCACATCATTTTAACTTTGAGCAAGAAAGTTTGTATCATCTGCATATTACAGGTTTTTAATGAGTCTTCCTCCAATCTTGATGCCACATTCGTCTTCATATAGTCTAGCTTCTTGAATTATTTGCTTAGCATACAGATTGAGTAAGTATAGTGAAAGGATATAACCCTGATGCACACCATTCCTGATTTTAAACCATGTTGTATCTTTATTCTGTTTGAATGACTTCCTCTTATTCTATGTACATGTTCCACATGAGCACAATTAAGTGTTTCAGTATTCCCATTCTTCACAGTGTTATCCATAATTTATAATGATCCACATGGTTGAATGCCTTTGCATATTCAGTAAAACATAGGTAAACATCTTTGTGGTATTCTCTGCTTTCAGCCAAGATCTAACTTTAGAAATTATAGTTTTTTATTGATCATAACCTGCAACTTTGCTAAATTCCTCTACTAGCTCTAGAAATTTTCTGATGCATTAATTAGCATTTTCTACAGATAGGATTATAATATCCACAAGTAGGTATCATTTTACTTCTTTTTCAATTTGGATACCTTTTATTTCTTTTCCTTGTGTCATTGCTCTGGCTTGGGTTTCTAGTAAAATAATGAATAGAAGTTATGAGAACAGGTACCTTTATATTGTTCCCAGATTCAAGAGGAAAGCTCTTGGTCTTCTCCATTAGGTATAATGTTACCTATTCGCTTTTCATATGCATTTCCCTGCTATTTCATTCTTCTGTAGGGTTTTCATCAAGAGTAGGTGTTGGATTTTATCAAAATCTTTTTCAGTGTATGTAGAGATGATCGTGAGGTTCTTTTCCTTTGTTTTTTCAATGTGGTGTATTTTGTTGATTGATATTGATACTTTAATACTGATTTATTCCTGGAGGAAGTCTCACTTGATCATGATGTATGACTCTTTTAATATGCTATTTGCTTTTTTTTCACCAGTATTTTGTTGAGAATTTTTACATCAATATTCATAAAATGTATTGGCCTGTTGTTTTCTTGTGGTGTGTTTTTCTGATTTTGGTATCAATGTTACGTTTGCTTCATAGAATGAATTAAGGAGTATTCCTTCCTTCTCTGTCTTTTGGAAGAGTTTAAACGGTATTGTTGTCAGTTCTTCTCTAAATATTTGGTAGAATTCCCCAATGAAGCCTTCTGGTCAGGATTTGTTGTTTTGGGGAAGTTTTTGATCATTGATTTGGATGTCTTCCCTTGATATGGGTCTGCAGAGACTTTCCTCTTTCTTCTTGAGTCTGTTTGTCCAATTCATCTAGGTTAAACATTTTGTTGCCATACAGTTTTTCATAATATTCTGTCATAATTCTCTTTATTACTACCAGGTCACTTGTAATGTCCTCTCTTTCATTTTTCATTTTGGTTATTTTTATATTTTCTTTCTTTTTTTTCCCCAGTATGGCTAATAGTTTGTTAGGAGCTCTGGTGACGTAGTGCTTAAGACATTTGACTGCTAACCAGAGGGCTGGTGGTTCAAACTCACTAGCCACTCCTCAGAAGAAAGATTGGATGATGTACTTCTGTAGTGATAATGTCTCAGAAACCCAAGGAGGGGTCGCTATGAGTTAATGGCTTGTCAATTTTATTGATCTTTTCAAAGAGCTGACTTCTAGTTTTATTGATTTGCTCTATTTTCCAGTTATTTTATTTTATTAATTAATGCTTTGAGCTTCATTATTTCCTTTCTTCTGGTAGATTTAAGCTTAGTATGCTTTTCTCTTTCTAGTTCCAGGTGTTGTCAAGTTAAATTGTTGATTTTTTTTATCTTTCTTCTTCTTTAATGTAGGCATTTATTGCTGTAAGCATCTGTGTACTTCCTTTGCTGCATCCCATAACTTTTGGAATATTGTACTTTAATTTTCATTTGACTCTAGGTAATTTCTATTTTCTTTCTTCCTTACCCATTGGTGGTTTAATAGTGTGTTGTGCAATTTCCAGTTTTTTTTTCTTTTTTCTGTTATTGATTTCTAATTTTTGAATAATTTCCATGCTTGGTGAAACTTGATGTCATAGGAGTATATCAGACAATTTTTTGTTTATGTTGATGATTAGTAGTACAGTGTATATGAGATTTAATATGGAAGTATTATGTTTTGCTGTTATCCATGAAAGTTGCCTCATTAAGTCAGTAATGATGGTGAGAAAACTATTACTTGCCTTAAATGAAAATACTCTCAACCAAGTTACTTTTCTGCAAATAAAAAATGCTCTCGGTATACAGGGTTGACAGAAAATGGTCCTATAAGTTTATGTGA